CCGCGACCATGTGTATAAATCCGCTAGTTATGTGTATAAATCTGATGAAGCGGTTCAGTTCCGAATGGGTAATGCGATGAACAGAGGATTGTCAAGAAGACGTTATGCTCACAATAGACGATTCAAATTTCCACATATTAGACGGCAAGCGTAGCGGCCGCAGGCCGCTAGTCTCCTTTTATTTCGTTGAGTTATCGAAAGGTTCAAAATACAGTCTGAATAATTAAATGGAAAAATTACTTACAATATCCCATCCATTTCGGAATGAGAAATTCCAGTTCTTCATGTTACTTGAAGTCTCTGATACTTATTCACTCATCCGGAAATTCGTACCACGGTTCACGGAAAACGATGCCAGGAGAATAGGCTCTCGACGGATTTGGGGAAGAAGCAACGCCGTTCTTTACTGAAATCTCGGAGTTCCACAACCCTCAAGTCTCTACTTTCGTGAAGATGTTTACACAACTCGCAGCCTCGATTTGCCATGAATTTCACCTCGTAGTCGGACTTCCAGGAGAAATACTCGCGGTAGGCGGTTTCGTTTCCGTCTAGGTGTTTGAGGTACTCGGCCAGACTGCGAACGGAAGAGAAGTCCATGACGTCGACGTAGGACTTCGGAGGTGCAATCGATGAGTAATTCGCACCGCTCAAAACCACCGGGATCCATGGAAACTGAAGAGCCTGGTAAAACTTCTCGGTGACGTAATCTTTGCAGATAGCGTTTTCGAAACCGAGGAAGAACTTATATTTCCCGCTCAGATGTTCATATCCATGAATAATATCGTCCCCTAGTTTCCCACTCCCGCATTTTCCGTAAACATGAATGGTCAGATTTTCCTTTACCAGATCTCGGATGAGATCCTCCCGTTTACTGACCGCATTACAATTACTGATGAGAGCGGCACCAAATTCTCTCGATGATGGAAAATCCATGGAATCCGGAAGACTATCTGTTCTTTTGGTGATTTGTCCATATGGCACCCGGACGTCGGAATCCGATTCGTAAGTCACCACCCAATCGATGGACATGTTCAAATCGCTTCTCAACGGAGGGGCCTCTCTCGTGACAAGAGCCCAAATCTGACCATCTCGTTTCTCTGGAACTGGGGAAGCACCGGTTCGATCCCCGGAATACCATGAGAAGACGACGAGATCGGCTTCAGGGAGGACGGACTCATTCCCGAAGTGGACGCGACAGCGATAGGTGTGGTTCCTTTCCGGCTCGAAGCACCGCTGATCCTCCTCTAACTTCCACCAGCTCCTCCAGTGTTCGTAGGAATTTTGAAGTGGATCGTAAATAAGGATGGTCCTCTGGGTGTCTTTTGTCCTGGTCCCGATCGCGTTCATCGCGCGCAAGACGCCATGTCTCGCGATCAATTTGAAGACGAAGTAGCTGAAAAATACCAGAAGTACGAGTTGATGGAAAATGGTGATCCTTCTGAGTTTGGAGTTACCCGGAAGCTTTGCACTGATGAATGTCAGGATTCCCATTTCTCCCTCGGAATACGACGCTTCCTTTTACTGCGAAGGAGTCGTTCGTTTTGGAGTTTTTGAGTGTCGGGATAGATGCCTACCAGTTTTTTTGTTTTATTCCTGGATCCTGAAATACCTTTGTGTCTCCCGCTGGAGCGACCGTGACTCCTTTCTTTAACGTGGTACTCTTCTTTCATGTGGTACTCATGCCTTGCTCTCGTGCTCGTTTTCTCTTCGAATTTCATTGCATTTTAATATTTTTGAATCTCCGCAGAAATTCTGAAAAAATATGGGCAGTTTCAGAACATTGTTGGACAGGCAAAACCACCAACGTCGGTCGACAGAGGAGACAGCGACTTTCCTCTTGCGTCTTCTCAACGCGAAAGTGAGCCCGAAACGCCTCGCGCCTTCTCGCGTTTCCACCACTCACGTCACTTGGCGAGCAATCGAACCTTTAAGGCTTGTCTCACAGCACCGACGAAGATTGTTCTCGTCACTGGCAGAGGAATGCCAGACGTTGGGAAACCGTGTCCGAACGAGATATGGGGGACGTACTGTGAATGTTTTCTTTGCAACCATAGACGAATTTCTCCAATAAATGTTTCTCTAAGAGATAAGGTACGAAGCGATAAAATGTTGTGCAATTTCGTCCCCCTCAAAGACCACATGTCGTTTTCGTCGACTTGTGACGATTTCACGAGGACGAATGGCTCTATATCGCGTGGAAACGAACCATTATCCTGTTGCCGGCATAATACACCCAGGTATTTCAAAATCGTAAGAGACGAGAAACTTGCTGGGAGTGGAGCTATCTGTGGTAGAATGTGTTCCTCCACCTCACACCAGATGTCTCTGTCTTCTGCCATCATAAGGGGAGACATTGGGGAAGACGTAAACGAACCAGAAAAGAAGCCGACACTCAAGAGATACCTCCGAGTGTGTATAAGCTCCAAAGACTCAAGATAAAAGATTTAATCCTCCATACTTTTATGTAATTCATCCGGCTCCGAAAGAAACACTTGCCTTTCTTTTCACAGGTGAAAGGGGAATCTATGTCAGATGATCCCACTTAACCTCTTCACTTCGGATATTGGAGGGATGGAAGGACTTTCCTTGAAAACCAATGTTGCCAAATTTGTGTTTCGAACTCATAACTAGTATTGGTTGGTGTTGATGCCGATGATTGCGGCATTGTGATATTAATGGTGATGAAAACCGATACAAAAAAATGATGTCCGCAGATTGTGCCTAACCACCTCAAAGAATATCTCTTGACTGCCTGTTAATTGTTGTCTTCCATCTGACAATACTGAATTATGTCATCAGAAGTTTACCTTCAAATGAGGAGACCGGTTGCATATTTAATTCTTTGACTTGTTAGCGAGAAGGAAGAATAAGGGCTATTTATGCATCGCCTTGAATTTTCTCATGGTCAGCCAATGGCGAATCAGGAGGGACGGGGGAGGGAGAGGGGGGTGGGGGTGCGGTTATCGCCCCACTATGGTCATACTTGTATCCTATTTTTTTTTATTTAAAAGGCGCATAATATAATCCTCATTTCTATGCATCAATAGCAATAGATGATTCGTCGATAGAAAAGAATTAGATACTCGAAATTTGATTAAATCTTTGTTGAGGACTTTTGAGTCGAGAGGGTCGAGAAGACGTTGCGAGGTTACAAAACAACAGGAGACAAGAGACTGACGGACCATAAAGTGTCACCCGTGTCCTAATTCCACTATGTTCCAATATATGTAATGTATTCCTAATTCCATTGGTCAATTGGTTTTTGAAGCATGAAAAACTAATAGGATTCCTGTGAGAATTCTTTAGGAATCCTACAGAAGCCGATGGAAAACCTTTAGGATCCTTTCGGTTTCCTATGGGATCCCATACACTCTTAAAAACGTAACTTAAGTGTGACTTACCGCATACGTTACTCCCGGATTTAAACGGTATTCTTAAGGTTTCCAATGAGGCCTAACCTTTGTGGTGACTTGAACTTCTGTATGTATAAGTTAAAAGAAAGTTGCCGAGATGTCGTAAACGTCGATTCCTAAACTCTCGAAATTGTACTTTTCATGTGACATTTATTAAGAAGTGACTCTTGAAGGTAAACGGAGCTTAAAAGTTCTCAGGGCTCATATCCTTCATCGTTTTCTGACTCACGTATGTAAAAGTTGTCTGAAAGTTACCAGACCGTCGTAACTTTCATAGAATTGAAGACCTTCATTATAATGGTTATGCTTACGTGAAACGTTACTAGCATAGAGGAGCACAGTAGAGGTTCGCGCAACCGAGGCCAGATGGCGCCAAAGTAGCCGCTATTTAGATAAAAATGCCTGAAAAAGTTGGAATTCGCCTCTACTAGTTTCCACAAGATGCCTGATCTTTCCACACAGGCAGAGGAAAGGAAGATATCTGAATTCTTCAAGAAACTGATCTAAAGAGGTAACACAGTCTCAGGAGTCTCAATAAAACTCTGGCATAGGGGTTGTTTGGAGGATGGTTCAACTACCAACGTAACTCCGTGAAAAAGTTTTAGCCCTAATGGAGGCATTTTGAGCTTTTAGTCATTTTGCGATGCTATCGCAAATCAAGAAGAGGGAAGGAATTGGTACTTGGTAGATATGTATGGTAGACCACCACTGTTGTGCTTGGTTTTAAAATCGCTCAAAGAAGGAATACCGTCGTCCTTCATGGTGAAAGGTAGAAATCCCAATCTCCACAGGACGTTCATGGAACGAGAGCAATATCCTTAATAAAATTTGTTCATTCCATATTCATTAAACGATCCAGTGTAACTTGAACTGAATAACTTTTAGGCGTAATTGGAAATGTCTAAATGTGACAAAGGCAACAAGGAAAACTTTTGGATGACCTTCAGTCTGTTACCTAAAAAAGTAGCGTTGATTTAAAGGTAGTTATTGGTAGTTTCCTAACCTTTAGTACTGATTTACTCAAAGGTAACATGTTTAAGAGTGCAGGATCCCATATATAGATAATCTTATAGGATACCCTTATGATCCCTATAGGATTCTATAGGATGCCTATTAGATCTCTTGGGTTCCTATCGGTATCCAATATGAATCTATGGGATACTTGGAGGTTTCCTATATGAATCCTACAGGTTTTTCATTTTCAAAATCTCATAAGAATCCTGTAGGACCTTCTCGTAAGGGTGCCTTGGACCGTTACAAGTGTTGTTTTTATTTATTGAGATGGACATGATGCATTTTGGGAGATGCTACGGAGTTTTCGTAGTCTTCCAGAACAGACTCGATGGTATCGCAAGAAACTTTTCCAATCACAGTTTCTCGATAGCTGTCATACGGAAGATTTGACCTTTGAAAATAGCATCGAAAGCAGTTATCGGGTGATATTTTTAAATTCAAAAATATGTACAAGTGCACAAAACTGAGACGAGGAAAAGTGCATGCTAAAAATTGGAACAGGTGTAGGCCTTCCCAAGCATCACGACCGCGACAGAACGCGAATCGACGTCGAAAAAAAACGCGTCGACACCCTCAGCATTTCCTCTTGGCCAAGGCGAATCCGACCCGATTGTTCCCCATGTCGTATTCAGAGTAGAACTTCCCGAGGAAAACGTCGCCGAGGATCCAGAGCGGGCCCCTCGGCGGAGGGATGTTGGACCCGGAAAAGCCCACCACGCAGTATGAACTGCCACGCTGCGAACGCTGCAAATCACATCATACGTTGTAGATCGCATCATACGCTGCAAATCACATCATACGTTGTAGATCACATCATACGCTGCAAATCACATCATGACCATGCAATTGAGATCGTGGTCGGTGGAGGAGTCGTTTGCGCAACATATGGCAAAAAGACCATTCACTTTGTACATTAATATCTCAGTGCTTAATGGAGCTATTTTGCGGAAACTTTTATTTTGCCCATATGTATCCAACTGATTCCCGCAATTTCATCCGAATTTTTTCGGTTGGAGCAATTCTATGAGCAACGAGTGAAAAGAAGTGAGACATTGAGAACGGACAGGAGCTCCTTCGGGTCTGTCTTCCAGACGATTTTCACGAGCTCATTCCTAATGAATAATGGACGACTTAATGGTGAATGTCCCTCCTCAAAGTTATTAAAAACTTTTATTAGTTTTCTGAAGAAACCGTTCTCTTCAAACGTTAGATATTCAAAGATGAGTGCTTATTGCTTTTATTTGAAGAAATGAATTTCGGTTGCCTCGTTGACTTTCAAATAAATGAAAATAAGCTTCATCCACAGCTCGCGTTGTTAAATATGACTCGAGCAATCATGAGATACACTCCAAGTCGTTGGACATTTTCGTCACACCTTGCGGACTCGGGTTGAAGTAAACCGAGGAATATTTTGATATTAAAATTATGTGAAAAGTCTCTGGAAGTTCATCCTCATTTATTGATCCGCTGACCAAGATGATGACCGAGAGTGTCAAGGCGTCAAGGTGTGTCTTCCACTTCCAGAAGGAGCTCTTGTCCGTTCTCGATATCCAACTTCATTTCGATAATTCCTGTTAACATTGCTTAGGAGCAACGAATTAGGATTGCACTTTGAGAATCACTGGCAAACATATATGCATAATGAAGTTTCCACGAAAGTAGCTTCATTGCAAGCAGAGATATTTAGGATTAAATATGTTGGTCTATTTTTGCCATGCATTTTATATCGTTGGGGGGGGGGGAAACAAACGAGAAAACGAAGTGACATACAGGAAGGACGTAGTCTTTTCCCTGCAACACGAAGTCCCTTCCATCGATGACGAAGCGGATGAGCGGAAGGTGAGGGACCTTGGAGCAGTCGACCTACGAAGCGAGAAATCCCAGAAAGCAAATTTCTCATTAACCCCTCGAGAACTCAAGACCAGAAATATTTAATTTCTCCGGGCCCGACCCTGTAGTTCCCCGAGCCGTCGAGCTCCGCCCCGACGTCCTTGACGATCGCGGCGATTTCCTCCTGAGGTCCCAGGACGAACGACGTCCCCGTGTCGGCGATGGCCTGGCATCCCTCCGAGCAGTAAACGGCGCGAGGACCCACTCTCACCCTGTCCGAGAGACCGACCGACATGACCGACACGACCGACACCCCAAGGGCGTGAACGACTCACTTGTCCATCTTGAACTGCCAATAACCCTCACGCGTCACGGGGACGTGGGTGAATTTCCCGATGTAGTAGTCGGGATCAGAGCCTCCGAGAATGAGTTCTCCGCCTTCTTCGGACGACATGTCGCTGCAAAAAATTCATAATTGACAAAAATGAGGATTTTCATTCTTGGTATATTATATAAAAAAAACGATCGCAGTTTCTGCCATTTTCGTTCTCAACAACTCTTATTCCCGATTTAATTAACTTTCGGTGACGACATCCGGTCGTATTTAAATCCCCGCCTACCGATTGAGGTAAAAGGAGAAGACCGGCCTCTGGACCAGCCCCTGCTGGACCATGTTCTCGAACACCGTCGGGATGAGGTCCACCGATATCGCCTTGTATCCCATGCCGAGGATCCCGTCGAACCTGGCCGCGGCGAACGACGAGTTCGGCTGGTTCGTTGCTTCTGCGAACGCCTGCCCTTGCACGACCAGGCCCCCGATCTGGAACGCACCAAGCGATCAGAGGAAGGTGCCACCGATATACCAAATAGACTCTTACATAAAATATATATTATATATTTAAAATATATATATATATTTTTTTTAAAAAATATTTTAAATATTAAAAACAAAAATAAAGCATGACTAAATCAAGGGAAAAAATTAATTAATAAACGAATTATTTATATATATTTGGCAGGGTAAAAGTCGGGGAACAGGAATTTCTAATGAATTTAGTTTTCAAAGTGACTGACAGCAGCACATTCCCGTATCTCTCTTTCGAAAATTTGGCATGCAAAAGTTGGAGCCCGGTGAAGAGGGTTTCGTCCGCTGATATTGGCAAGAAATGAATGACCGTTACTCCTCTGGGACAGGTGCGGCGATTTTAATGATGATTTACATAATTTCACCTTAATTTGACTGACAACATTTGCAAGTGATTTTTTTTCACTGTGTTGCAAAAAAAATGACGAAGTAAACCTTGTGGATTTGGATATGTTTTGCGCAAAAGCAGGTAACCATTTAAAAAGTTTATTTTTTTTTAAGTTTTAAAGAAGGAAATACGAAATGCTGACCAAACGGGAACAATCAACGTTGGGAGCCGTGGGCATTACAAGTTATTTAAAATAAATTAAATTCTCCATGAAACTTGATGACTTCACGGAAGGGAAAGGATTAATGGGAAAAACCATCAACTTTTCTTCGAAGACTTAATATTTTTCGCCCCTTTTCTTGAAGAGGGGCGAAGAGAAACATAAATGATCATTTCGGCTTCAATTTTCGCCAGAAATGATAAACTGGTACCAGCCCGCATCCCATCGTCCCTCGTTTGGAAGACGGTTTCTGGATTTTCCGGATGATTTCTCCATTTGTATGGGAATTTGCGGCATCGGACATTCTTCTGCGGAGATTTTCATCCGAAGCCCGTTTAATTTCGTTGACGGCATTCGGAGAATTAATCTGAATCAGTCGCGTACCATGTGCAATATCGGTAAATCCCTTTCCATGGGTAAAATTGGCGGAACGTTGGGCTGCCACGGTAGAGACTTAAATCATCACCTTCATCCAAAAATGCATATTTTTTGTTCTGCTTTAGAAATTCATACACCAAGATGAAGATGGTTGCAAAGATGCACCAAGATGGTTAGAGACCAATATCGACCCGATCACAAAAGGTCGTTAGATAATGAAGGGAAGTTGTAATTTTCCGAAAGTAATTCATTGTAATTTCTCGTAAAAGTTGTAATTTGCTTTAAATAACCAGTTGTAATTGTAATTCGTCTTAATTAGTTGCTTTTTGCCTTAATTACTTGTAATTCGTCTCAATTAGTTTTAATTTGCCTTAATTAGTTATAATTCGTCTTAATTAGCTGTAATTTAGTTGTAATTTGTAGGTAATTCGTGAGATGTTATTTGTTTTAAAAAGCAGGAAAAGAGCTGACCGTGACGGTGTCGACAGCCAGGACGCCCGAGAGCCTCCCGCTGCCGTACCTGATGCCGATCCGCGTCCCGTTCCTCGAGTAGGTGCTGGACCGGGATCCGTCGTACTTCTGGTGGATTCCTGCGAGTGCGGAGAGTCACATGTTTAAATTGCACGGGTGTGTTTGATGGAGACCCCGCCGCGATGGGAGATGCACCGCGGGAGAATTTTTCGCCCTTGCTTCATTCGTCGTCGGATGATTCATTCCCCAGTTATCGCAGCCAATAATATACTACTGAATGCAAATAAAGTTGTGCGTCGAGACTGGAACGCGAATCGAGTCTGAGTTTTCTGAAAAAAAATCGATGAATTCCCGCGAATCTTCGGTCGCTCTGTCTGGCGATTTTGAAATGATTTTTACAGGAATCCGTGCATTAATAAAATGCTGGAAAAAAGCTTGTCTCCTCACTGCAGGCGGTGTCGTTGACGTTGCAGTCCTTCGAAGGCACCCAGAGGTTGGACGACCCGGTGTCGAACAAAATTTTGAACGACTGCGGCGGAGTGCCGATGCCGATGGATCCGTAATATTGAACCTGGAAGCGCAAACGTAATATTGAACCTGGAAAACTATTACATTGAACCTGGAATATCTGCAATATTGAACGTGGAATCGGGTCAGAATCGGTCGGACGGGCGAGACTCACATCGCGGTAATCGGCGAGAGGCACCTGGATCAGCCCGGCATCTCCCCATTTCTGCTTCTTCATTTGCATGGATTCTTCATCCTCCGCTTGCATGGATTCTTCATCCTCCGCTGGCATGGATTCTCCGTCCTCCAGGTGGGCGATCCTCCCGCTCTGAAACCGTTGCAACTTCACCCTGCGAAAGAGGCGGTCGTGCTTACTCGAGATGATGCTCTCGATGCTCAAATGTTCGCCGAAAGCAATGAATCCCGAACGGACAACTTTTATTTGGAATGCCCAGCTCAAATCTCGAAGGTACGGAAGGTTGAATGACGGGCCGAATGCAGAAATTTCGAAATTTCAAGAATGAATGAATGGCAGAGTCTCGATCGAGTTGACTTCATCGGTCGTCGAGTGAATTTCACGAGCAATATCGCAGGGCAATATTACAGTTGAATATTTTGTTACTCCGCGTTCCTCCCAGCAATATTTGTCGCGAATCGTCCAACGCGTTACTCGCGTCTCCCAAAGGCACGAATGCCAAGCACCATTCCGATTTTCGGCGGCAATGCGATTCGTCTCGCGTCGTTCCCCTCGAAGACGTTTCCTTGCGGCATCCGTCCTTCCGTTCGTTCTTCTTAGTCTCTCGATCTTCCAACCTTTCGATGGTAGGAGAGACCGCGCGCCTCAAATGTGCAAAAAATTAATAATTGCATTTCTCGAGAGACCGCGCGAATGCATGGACCCAGACACGATATCCTTTTGGGAAGATCCATCGAGTTGTAGTTAGCGATCAAGTATCTCTGTGATCATAAATGAGGACCTCGAGGAAAAAGCTTCTCTATATCGAATAAAGAATGAAATGTTCATCCCGACGGTCGAGAAAATCGAAATAAAAGCAAATCGCAGTTTGAAGGAAAATAACACAAAATTTTAAATTTAAATTCTGCTCGATTATCTCTTCTGGAAACACTATCGTTGCTCATTTTTACCAAGACAAGGAACCTCGCTTTACCCTTATAATTCAACTATAGTGTTTCCGTAATGCTATTCCATAAAACTACGGGGAAATAGTTGAGAAGAGTTCGCGTTTTCCCAGATACGCATTAAAAACCTGACGGAGGAGTTGAGAGTGCGAAGGGGCTCTCGAATGTGGTTCAATGTGGTTCATGCAATTCGTCATGTGGTTCATTGTGGTCCATTTGACTAACGATGCCGGAAAACGAGGCGAAAAGAACTCAGTTATTGCATTCGCGTACTTAATCAGGAGAGACTGAATTAATTGCTGAATTGTTCAAATTTAAAAAATGTTCTTATAGTATGTGATTAGTTAATTTTATAGTATAAAATTAACTAATTACATAATTTTATAATATAAAATTAACTGATGGAAAATTCCCAGTTTGCTTGCCCGTTTTAGCTCGAGAAGGTCAAGTGGCAGGCTTCACATGCAGACGTTAGATTCTCATACGAGATTTGAGAAGTGCGAAAATGAAAGTGAGTCAGAGATTTCCTATTCGGCCAAAACCAGAAATGAAATTTCATCAAAAGTTTCCTCTTCGGCCAAAACCGGAAATCCGCCGAAGAGGAAGGGAATCCTGGAGAATGTTGGATGCGAATTCCTCTCCGGCCGATTCCAATCATTTTCCTCTTTTTTTTTTGTCGTCCGGGTGGCCCGGAATTTCCGCGTAATTGAGGATTCGCTTCTGGCGGAAAGGACAATGGTCTGCTCGGAAGACCTTGGAAAAGGTTGTCCTTTGTTCCGCATAATTTCCCTGCGTGATCCCAACTCGCGGGATAAACTCGTCCCAGACGAAACCAGATTTTTCCGAATGATCCGTTTCTTAGTTTGCCCTTGGCATAACTTTAACCAACGCCAATTGGTAAATACCTCGTAACAATAGGGAGGAGCCGATGCACGCAGCTTGGCGTAACGCCTAAACGCGTGCGCGAACCGTGCTTGCGTGCACGGAATCCCCCGGCGACCGTGAGGACCGAAGAAACAATCGGACGTGCATTATTGTATGGGGAAACAAGGAAAGGAAGGCGAACATTCAATATCGGACTTTTCAGGAGGGGGGAAGGTGGGGGGGGGGGAGGTGGGGGGATGTGGGGGGGGGGGGGGGGCATTCCAAGGGCTTCCTCTTCTTTCCGGTCATTAATGACAGAGACCCTGGACGACAATAGTTCCCATTTCCCTTCCTCTCAATTTGGAAAATAATCATCCCTTTCCTTTCATTTCAATTACTCTTCTTTTTTTCTACTATGTGATTTGAGTTTCCGATAGAGGAAGCTGTTGAGTTGCGTTTCAGGCCGAAGTGGCTGGGATTTTCCTCCGTTTTCTGCATGAATCTCTTCTCGCAGATGGTCTTTTTCTTCGAGCAGGTTCCCGCAACACGCGAGACGAAACAGAGCTGCAATTAATTTGTAATTATACTTGATAATATCGGCGCAATTGCATATCACCCCAACTGCTAAAACAAACTCGACAAGCGGAACCATTCATCGTTGAATTTTTTCCAACTTGTTTTCCGCGCTCCCCAGTCGTCGAAGTAATCGGTGAACGAATGGCCGAGTAACAAAAAAAGGCCAGATAATGAGTCATCCTCAAAAGAGGTAAAAATAAAAATTAAAATGGATATACAATAAATCATTGAAGTAACTAGGCGGTATTTTTATCAGTCCGGACCCAAAGGAAGAAGTGAGACTCCCATGGAAATTTTGCTGACCTTTTCAGTCCAGAGGAGTCGGCATCCTCGGATGCAGTCGACGAACTCGTCGCAGCCACCACGACGAAGACGAAGAGAGCCAACTTCATTGCAGGGAAGCAATCTGAAGCGATCGCAGGGAATCTGGCCGAAGCGATCGCAGGGAAGTTGGAAGTCCAGGCAGTTGCGAGTGGAATCAGGGCGGGATGTGTGCGTGAGGGACGATGCCCGGGCGGGGTACGAGGCGAAAACGGTTTTCGTTTTTTGCTTGCGAACCTGCGCTTCCTGTTTCGTCTCTCTTTCTCCCTCTCGTCCCCGAATGCCACTACGTCTATCTCTGAAGCATCCCATATTTGCAATATTCGGCAAGATATTCCAAGGAGTTTGGCACCAATGAGTAGCATCTGTATTCTGTGTTTCCATTGCGCTTATTTTTTATAATCTGGGCCTGTGAGGCGTCCAAGAATTAATCCCGATATTCCCTAGGATCAATGTTTGTTAAATTCAGCGAGTCAGGGCAATAGGGATGGTGGAGAGGGCAGAGGAGGGTGGAGAGTAGGGAGGGCGGAGAGTAGGGAGGGCGGAGAGTAGAGAGAGCGGCGGAGGGTGGAGAGCAGAGAGGGTGGAGGATGGTGGAGAGAGGTGGAGGCAGCCGCCAGCCTTCTCCGCGCTTTGAGACCTCCAAATGAGGAATTTAGGGGTTGAGGGTGAAAAAGGTGATTGTCAAGAACCACCTTGCTTCCCATTAACCATGCCTTTTCCCGTTCTCTTTCCTAAGTCGCATCATTTCTTACTGCTCACTATATCGGGCGACATTCTTCACCTGTAAGTCACGAGAAGAACGACATTTAAAATTCCTTCTGTAATTCATGATATAAAATAATTTTCTTCCTAACTTTGGAATCTCACTGTGGGCATTTCGAAACGGTCGTATGTTTTTGGCCCAAGCTCGAGCAATTGAGTATTTCGTGTCCCACTCGATCCCTCGATGAGAATGATTTTGAGGGCGCCTTCCGATTCGTAAATGCTATTAACGACATAACCGACTACGGCATTCTGGCTTTCGGTGAATTTCGGGAACCGTTCCTCGATGTACGGCTCCATTCCCGACACATTCCGACAAAATCGAATACGGCGTCATCGCCTCGTTCGCGATCGTCGGGATATCCGCCGATGGGACCTTCGCTCGGTTCGTCTTTCGATTCCCCCCCACAATATGTTTTGCCATATTTTGCCAATATGGCATCGGTCGGTGCCCCGACCGATGCCATGCCAGCAGACGATTCCCTGAAATCGGCACCCGCCGATCGACCCGAAGCCGTTGTGACGCAGAGAGCCGTAAAGGAATCGAGACGGTTGAAATGTCCCGAGTCGCAAGAATATTTTCATTATCAGCCTTGCTAATTGCTACATCGTCCACCGCATGCGATTTATCTTACTGCTTTCTCAATGTCGTTCTGGGCGACTGGCTCGGTGCCGTTCCACAGCTACGAGAGATTCTAAACTATGAGAGCTAGGAAAAAAAAAGATTTTGAAATAGCATTTATTTTCGAGTATAAACATGTACTTCTCGTGATTTGCGCATTCCCTGGCTGTGTCTTCTTCCGTGTCCTTCGACACTCTGGTCCTGGTTTTTTGCTTTTTTTCCACCGCAAAAAAAATGCAAGAGTCTTTTGGCACTTTCGCTGTGCGATGAAAGCTTTCAAAAATGGGGTTTCCTCAGACATAAGCTCAACGTTTAATCCATTTCGAAACCCAGGAACCGGTGACGAGTTCATCGTGAGGTGGAAACGTGATAGCACGGATGCGATCCATCCATTTACGTTCTTCACCATCGTATGACATCGTGGAAAAAGTTACCAAAATGGGATAGAATAGGTTCAAAATTGAGCAAGGATTCTAAATACAGGGGATATTTTACATGTTTTCCTGGCTCCTATAGTTTAAGCTGTGGAAGTGGGGGCGGAGTGAATCGCAGTCCCTTTAAATCGCAATCACCTTGCGCCGTTTTCCCGGAATCGTGTTCACGGGTGGCCTCGGCGTCCATTCGTGAGTTCGTCTGAGGTCCACCGGGTCCGAATTTCTTTTCAGGCACTCGTTGGCCCGTTATCGATGTTTCCTCGGTCGTAACGTCTGCTCCAAATTTGAGTCTTCTGTGTCTCCCCCTTTCCTAGAAGCAAAAACCTTCTGGAAATGAATATCTCGAAGAGGGAAAATGTACTCGATGGGATGGAACTTTTCCCAGTTCTCTATCAAGACAATTACCAAGAAAATTGAATATTTGCCAGATTCCAACTTTCTATCAACGTGTACTTCTCGCTTTGAGAAAAATAACTTTGAGAAACCGTACCACCCAATAATATGGAAACTGGCTGCGAAGTAACGAGTCGAAATACAACCTTCCCGACCACCAGGAAGAGGAGAGGAGAGCGTTTTGTTCCCATTATTTGAGGCTGGCATCCTATAACATGGAGATACGGAGCATGCATTGTTCCCGGTCGAGTGAATCGGGAGAGGACTGACCCCATTCCGACTCGATCGGTGACAAATTTTCTCTCATCCGGTTGCAGTTCATCTCAGCACATCCATGAGACTGAATTCGTCCCGTCTTCGCGAGTTCTCCTCCTGGAGCATCCATTTCCATCTGGTACCAAGAAATCGCAACGCCCTCTCGCCCTTCCCCCGTCGATGACGGC